TCCTCCCCCTTTTCTCTTCGCCTACATTCACTCTTGTCTTTCCCCCTTCATTCCACCTTTTTTATGTTTATGTGCATCTCACTTTTCCCTACCCCCCTGGGGGTTCCAGCTGTTCGGGTTTTTTCTTTCTCACCCCTTTCTCGAAACTCAATGCCTACGGGGCTTCCCCCCTTTCTTTTTCTTGATCACTTTCCCCCCCATTCTATCCAACCGCTGTGTACACAATGGCTCTAAGTCCTTCAACGGCGTCGGATTCGCAGCAGTGTTTCCTGGACAGCGTCGGGTGGGGGCATTTACTATCTTCGGGCTAGAAATTTTTACTGCTGAAACTGTATGCCATTCTTGCAGCACTTATTCGTATCGCATCTATGCCTGTGTCCATCATTTATTAGTCTCAGACTCCCTTAGTGCTCTACAGGCTAAACGAAAATTTAAATACATCTCATCCCCTATTTCTCCGAAACCAACTTTGGCTACGCCGTATCTCTACCAAACATAAAGATATTGTTTTTTGTTGGGTCCCTGGTCATGTCGACGTACAGGGCAATGAACGGGCAGACACTCCCGTGCGGTCAGCAGTACATGACCTACCAATTTCCTATCGAGGTGTTCCATTTCTGGACTATTTTGCTGCAATAGCTACCCACCTTCGCAAACCCCTTGGCAACAACGTTTTGGGCAACTCTGCTCGGTAACAAACTTCATTCTATTAAACCGAGCATAGGTTACTGGGCCGTCTTCTTGTCATCAGTGCCGAGGTTTGGGAGACCAATCTCTCCTGCCTTCCCCATTTGGGCCCCACTCGTCTTACTCATGGGTATCTCATGGAGAGGCACCCTGTTCCTCTCTGTGAGCAGTGTTCCCAATTCCAGTATCGATTAGCCAAATTCTGTTAGACTGCCCTCTCTACAACGAGCACGCAGAATTTAAACCCCAAACGTCGTCTTCGTTCTACTACTCTCTCTTTACCTTCCCTTCTTGCTGATGGACCTCCTTTTAATCCTGACTCTCTCATTGACTTCTTGACAACGACTGATTTACTCCACAACTCTGATACTTTCCGCTCTCCCCCTCAGCCCTTTCTAGTTCAGTCTCTTGCTGCCCTTTACCCTTTCAACCATCCACTACTCCGCTGTTATCCGTAACCTATTACTCATTCCATCTCCCTTTTGCCACCTGATGCCCTCGCTTCTTTCCTGCCCTGCAGCGCTTTTATAGCCCCTTGTGGCTTAGCGCTTCTTTTGATTATAATATACTAATCCTTTAAGCATGAACCCCACTTTTGATAGGGGGAAGGGTGGAAGGCACCATTTGTAATGACATTACTTTTCTCTGACTGGCCCAGACCACACCCACTCCCAGTGTTTTAAAAAAAAAAAAAAAAAAAAAAAAAAAAAAAAAAAAAGGTGGACCAACGACATTAATCCGTTCCAGAGAGCTTATCTTTAGGCGTTTTTAAATCGTTATTCGAATTAACTTTCCCCATAAGAAATAAGGGGAATCCAATTAATCCCTTCCAACAGCCAAAAGTATTTTTTTTTTTTTTCATGAAATAATTTCCCTTAGAAAACAATGAGACACGCACAATAACTACATAAATGTTAAAATGGCACTTACCTTTATTGAAGAGTATTGATGATGATGACTGTTTTTCTTGAACACTGGAATTTTCAGAATGATACACGAGTAACGGCTTCACTTTGCAATCCCCACTAGCATTACAACAAAACAAGAGTTAGCCTGTCTTTCATAGGCTTGTCCTGGGAGTGCCTTTTCTTCCTGAGTAATGTAGGTCCTGTTTGGCATTTTCTTCCAGAACAGGCCTGTTTCGTCACAATTGAACACTTGTTGGGGTTGGAATTTTTCAGCTTCACCAAGCCTTATCACAGTGTATGCCACTACAATTCTTAAATCTCCCAAACCAACCTTTGCTGGCCTTAAATTCACCAATATGAGCACTAGTTCCAGGCATTTTTTCCTGTTCACCTGGCTGTTAGTTGACTGGTGCGGGTCGCATCCTGGGGGACAAGATTAAGGACCCCAATGGAAATAAGTTAGTCCTCGATGACACACTGACTTTCTTGGGTTATCCTGAGTGGCTAACCCTCTGGGGTTAATTGTTTCTCGTTAAGCCATATCAAAAACACACACCATCTTCGAGTAGTACAGCTGACGGTGGTGCAGCAGCAGCTGACGGTGGTGCAGTAACAGCTGACCGTGGTACGATAGTATTCCGATAGCATTTCTTGCCCTTTTTACCATGTGGTTGGCACTAGCTTTCTTTGGACCCATGGTGGCTTATTTAGCTGTTACAAGCACTAAAAACAATGGAATAATACAAAATTTATCGAATATATGCGTGGAACCATATACCCTGGCTTGTAAACAATGACGGCAGGGCAGCTGAGGTACTCAGGCTGGATGGACAGGTTTGGACGAATCATGTGGTAGTTTTTCATCGTTGGTCGGGCCAAAATTTTTACGCTCGCACTTCGTTGGACAAATTTATCGTTAGACGATGCCTTCGTTGGCCGAGGGTCCACTGTATATAACAATCTTCTCCATTTTCCTCAGTTTAAGGTAAGACTGACTGCTGATGCAGTTAAATCTGGGGAGACTGAGTTGCTGAACATGTATTCAATTTTTGTTAGTGGAAGCACTTTAGAGGGATGGTGAAGTTGGCATCCTGGAATTCTTGAGAGGCTGTTAAATGGGAGTCTTATAAATTATTCAGTGTGACTAGTAATTCAGAGATGCTGAACAGTTTCTAGTAAAAATAGAATCTGGGCTAGCAGGGGTTGTTTAATGCTAGAAAGTACCGGAACAGGGTGGTGTGCATTTTGATAGGCCACTCATACAGGTGTTCATACTCTGAAGAATGGGTAGATGTGTTTATTGTAGATGCCTTTGTAGGCAGCAAAAACTTGTAAAATTGTACTCTCATGCTTATGTAAAGTAATCCTTTTAGGCAAATGTTCTAGAGTTCCTGAGAAATTTCTATTGTTGGCAGAGAACCTGTGGGTGTATAATCTAAAACACGAGGCATGGGAAACGTTTGTGAAATTACTAAATATTCATCATGCAAATAGTTGGCTATTTAAGATAGTAATACAGGGAAGATTACTTTCCTCCTTTCTCAAGTTTTTAAACCCAAAAAATTATTATACATAAACTTTTAAAAAAAAAAAAAAAAAAAAAAAAAAAAAAGGCTTTCCGAGTTTATTACGAGTGGCAGAGCTGTGACCCTACCTGTAATGTAACATTTATTAAAGTGTTTAAGGGGAAACATTTACCTTGAACATAACTAATATTGATAGAAAAACTAAAATCAGTAAATTAAACTTTTTTGAACACTTTTCCAACTGGGAAGTTCATCAAATTATAATTAAATCTGAGGGCCAACCATTGGGATGATTTTCAGATCTTTATAATTATATTAATGGTACACAATGATAGGTTGATAAGTGCAACTTAACCAACCAGTAGGTTTTTCAAATCTGGGTTTAGTGCTTAGTTTGATCATTCTGTATTTTCAGTCTGATAAATTATATTCCAGGGACAGCAGAAAATGAGAATCCTCGCCCTTTACAAGCCCTTTAGTTTTGATCATTTTGAAGCAGAAGTGTAAGAAATAATGTGCATCTTGAAGCTATAAGGTGTGAAGCAGTTAAAGGAAGTTTTAGGCAGGCAAGACTCCACTAGTGGAATTGTCATTCCTTAGTTGGGCCAGACATTAACACTATGAATGTAGAAAATATCCTCGACCAAGATTTCATGGTGCTGCTGTTAGTATTATTGACTGGTTAAGTCTGTAATACCAGGTATTACATATGCCTTATCAAATTATCAGTTCAACTGTACTAAAATTATTTTAAATCATACTCCTAGTTTGCAGTTGATACATAAAAGGAAGCACAACTTGTAGGGGTTGGACATTTACTGGTGACAGTAACAAAGGAACATGTACTGTATAATCATATTTTAAGAGGTTAACAGCTGGAAAGTTTTGACCTCAGGAACTTTTATACTATAACTTTTCCTAGTCATAATTCAGAACTTTTCTTTAATTTTGTATGTTGGTTAAACATCGGTCATTTCCAATGTTAGTTTTTAAACCATAAAGGAGCTTGTCCAAATGTGTTGCATTGCCCTTGGTGACCTGAGGGCATGCACGTTATACCGCTTTGACTATTCTTTCTATCCTAGTTTACATAAAATGTAGGGAAATTCTTGCTTCAGACTTTGGCATTTGCTAATTGGTGTAGGCAGTTTAAATATTTTGCCATTAAGTAATGCTTTGTGTAATTTTTGCTAGGTTGGACAATACTTAGTGATTTTTGCATTCAGAATTACCATCCCCTTGTGTATTTGAATTGGTATGTAGCTTAGTGTCATGGTTAATTTGGAGGATATCCTCTGGGCCCCTTCCCCCCCAAAATATGTAGGTACACTTGTTAAAAACAATAGGAAAATTTAAAATGAAGGCAAGCCTTAGATACCATGAAGTGCCTTTAGTATGTGCCATATCAGTAAATGGAGGACTGTAGACCGTACTGCAATAGCCTGACTGAAGTCACCAGGAAAGTTTTTCATGACTGCAGAGAGGTAGAGCATTTCAACTACTGCAAGTGACACCCAAGGCATGGACAGCCTGTTTCCACAAAGCACCAAACTGGCTGAAGTTGACAGCAATGTACTGAACTAATTTTAATTTTAATTAACATGTTAATTTTATTGCAGGAATATTTTCTTTGGCCATTACAGTGCAGACAATAGAAATTTTATAAAATTATGAATTTTTCGATTTTGGTTGAAACTGCTTGTGCATATCTATTAAAATTAAATTTGTGCATTGAGATGAAGATTTGACTAAAAATAGTATTTTTAATTAAATAATGGTTAGTTAACTTCAGTATACTGGAGTTTGTTGTATAGCCAAAAGTAGCATTAATTAATGTAAAAATGAATGTTTACCTTTTCAACTTTCTTACAATCACTAGGTTATTGAATACAATGGTGAACGAACTTTGGAAGGAATTTCCAAGTTTCTGGAAACTGGTGGTGTATATGGCCAGGCAGCCCCAGAAGACACGGAGGTAGGAAACTGCAGTAACAGCTGGATGCATGCTAAAATAGCATCAGCCGTGTTGCTCTTCACTTGGTCTAGCTCCTCTTGCAGGTTGTCTTGTCTAACAAAAAGTTCCAGATGTTTAATAACCTCTTGAAAGATCTCAGTTCACATTAGTGCCATTAATGCTGGAACTTTTAGTTGACATGCATATGCACTTTCCTATGCTTGTAACATCCACCTCATTTTGGCTTTCCTTCCATAGGTTGTAGATTACAGTGGGGCACGGACACTAGAGGCCCTCACTGATTTCCTTGAGGGCAAGAGCGCAGCTGAGGAGGTACATATTCTTTTTAAAAAAGCATGCCAGAGCTAATTTTTCCTCCCTTTTGCATGACTTGGTTACACTTTAACTGCATTAAATGTCCCTTGAGTAATGCTTAATATTTTAACGTGCATAGAATTGCTTAATACCCTTCCCTAAATTTATCTACAGTATTTATATTGCTATATTAATGTGCATGTTGAGTAATTGTTAATATATCTAAATTTTCTTGCCAGGATGATGAGGAAGTTGATGAAGAGGGTGATGTGCCTGCCAAGGATGAACTTTAAGTTCAGTAAAGTGCCGATGATGATCAGTAGTCCCTATGTCCGAGCAGTGGGTGCTAGTGGTTTACCGGCATTGTAAATGCTGTTGACAAAAGAATGCCTATTTTATAATTTTCTTTTGCCTTGTTTAAACCAGCAAAGGCTAAGAAAGTTAATTGGTACTAATTTATAATAAGGAATCCTATAAACATAACGTAGGGGGTGCCTAATCCTAAGAAGTTACGTTCCAGGTAACATCTTATGGTTAATTAATGTTTAGTGTTAATTTAATTTCATTTAAAATGTACAAGTGGTATGCAAAGACTTTTATTCTATGCTTTAATGAATTTTGATAACATTCCTTGAAATATTTTTCTTGGGGGTGGGGTGGGGGGGGAGGGTGATTTTTATACCCTATTCTACCATAGGGGATGGTAAAAATTAATGGAGAATTGCCAGCATAAAATAGTGGCCACATAGCCACTAGCTGTCAGTGGATGATAGCTATAAATAACCATCAGTTTTGTGCACACCTGTGGGTGTGCACATCAGTGCTAGCTTTACTGTTGTCTTCCACAGTGTTCTCCCTGTACTAGGCACAATGCTTAATGTCAGTGTGTGGTGTGTTGGGAGGTTCAGAGGGTCCTCGAGTGTATGAGATGTACCAGCGACTTTTTTTCCAATAAAAATCAAAGATTTTCTACTTTGCCTTTTAATTTTTCCAAACAAAACATCCTTGACAATGAAGAAAATTTGATAGCCACCATGGTAGTATAACAATTATAAAGCTGCATACATTATTACCACCAACTTTGATTCCCCTTACCCCCTGCACACTCCTGCCCCTCCACTCCCTCCTAACGTTGCTGTGCATATTCCTTTTTCAGGCCTCTTTTAGCACTGTTTGACCCTTCTGGGTTTAGTGCTTAGTTTGAATTACAGCCTCTCACTTCACTTATTTCTGTTCCTGAGACCACGTATGTAAACGAATTCGTCGCTAGTGGGTTGTAAACCATGTTTGATAGTGTTAATATTACCTTTGCACAATTTATAACATTTTAGTATTTCTAAATGTTTATACAATGTCTTGTATATTGTAATACAGAATAGAGGAAATTGGCCAATATAAATTTAGGTATGCATACTGGTCAGAAAGCCCATCGTAAGGCAATCCCGTTAGTAAAAGTACATTGCTTAGTGAGGAGAGGCTATAAATTACAATTGTAGTGTAGAGTACAGTATGGAAAAAATCGAATGTTGCTAACCTGTTCTTAGTCCTTTGGAGGGTTTCTTAGAGGGTGGAAACATTTCCTTTTATTAGATCTGAGGTCTCCATTACCCAACTTTAAAACACGCAACTAATTTGATTTGAAGCTATACTTTTCTAATCATTGCCACCAGTGTCCCTTGCGTATACCAGTGAAGCGTTCTTGATAGAGAGAACTGGATATAGCTTCCCCTAGGATCTAGCCTTTCATTCCACAGGTGCTATAAGACCCCTATTGTAATGCACCCCTCCTGCATAAGAGGAAAATGTACAAGGAAGGTCCCTTGATGCTGGTGAGGGCATCTTGATCAAAAAAATTGATGGCATCCCCTTCTTTGGATCACATCTGATTGCTCTCACATTTCCCAAGTGCTGAAAGATCCTTATGGGTTAACTTCCCTTTAAATGTCCCCTAAATCTTCTCTTGAAAGCTTCAGGTTTCCTGCATGCAGGGCCGGATTAAGAAGTCTCCGGGCCCTAGGCTATTCAGATTGGCGGGGCCCCTTTGAGTTAGGGGTAAGCGAAGCGACCCCTTCCGGCGGGGGGGGGGGGGGGGGGGTCGGTGTGAGCCAGTTTAAGGTCTAATTAAATACATTCTGGCTGTTTAGATTAAATTTAATAGGGAAAGTACATCAAGACAACCAAAACCTTTTACAAACAGCCATTAAACTATCTTTTTTAAATCATGCATTTTAAAAAAAAAACTCAAGACAGCATAGTATTACTAAGTAGGCATTAAATGTGACTTTCCCTTTTTTTATATTCAGCAAACCACTATAGCACTATTATTCCCCTTTATAAATCACTGACCTTATTTTTATTGCTTCATGCATAAGACACAAATATATAAACTCAAAGAATTTGTTTATATTCACAGGCACTTTTAAAAAACTTTTTTTCTGATTTCATTTTGGGCAAAATCACAATTATTCTAAAATCATATTTCTTGAGATCAGCCCAAAAGGGTCAACAAGGCAGTTACAAAATTTTGCTTGGTCATTGTTAAACGGAGCTGGTTTTTCACTCTTTTAAAAAACGAAAATGACGTTCTTCACATTTAGTAGCGGAATTTTAGGTAAAGGCGATACACTGTTAACATTGGGGAAAGGTTTCTGAGTCCCTGCATTTTTTAAAGTTTCAAAGCAGCTGAGGGTAAACATTTTTCAGGGGGAGTTTAATCTGTTTCAAAACCCCAGAAAAAAACTATTTTTTCAAAAAATTTGTCCTGAACACTGCAAAAAGGTGTTGTTGCAACTTTAATAATGCAGCTTCCTAAATTTGCATCTGGCATAGTAAAATTTTTGAACAAAAATCCAAACTTGTCATTGAGATTCTGAGATTTCTTTTTTTTTCCCCAATTCTGTAATGTGAATCCAGAATGACGAAGTATTGCTGTCTTACATTTTGCCGGGTAGCAACACAATTTCTTTGTCGGCTTTTTAAAATTTGCGTTTCCTTTCCTTGACCGCTGAGATCACCCAAAACGTCTTTAACCGCTTTAAACTTTCTTTTCAAAATTTAAAAAGCTTCATCTTGCAAAGTAGCTTACAAACCCACTAACCTGTTAGGGGTTGCAAAAGTAGCCTTTTTAAATTTTAAATTTCTGAAGTGTCTCCCCCAAGGAAGGTTCCTTATGTTGGGGGGGGGCTCTTGTTTTAGGGAATTGGATCTGTGCCCCAGTTCCCCGAATTAACCCTGAATGCCTTCCAACCCCCCCCCCCCCAGGCCTTAAAATCCCCCGGGGTTTAGCGCTTCCCCCTTGATAAAAATAAAAAATAATAAATAATAATAAAAATCAAGTGTCTTGTTCGGGCTTTTAAACCCTTTCCCAGTAACACCCCCAAAGCGCCAGAGTAAGGCCAATTCAAAATCTTCAATTTGTTTGCTAAGCTGGCTGCTTCGCTTCTTGTAGTTGCGTCGGCTCTCTCTTCTATTGGGATCAAAGCAGAACGATTTCAGCAAACCGTTTTTCAAAGCAGTGTTGCATCATGCTGTGCGACCCCTTTTTGTGATAAGTTTGATGACATCTCCAGAATGGTTGCTTGAGTTACTCCCCCGATGCTTGAGCAGAGAAAAAATTAGAGCGTTTGAAAAGCCCAAAAAAAATAACTGCAGCGACACAACACCCGCAGCACATGCCCCAACAAGTTTAAAAGAGAAGTGCTGAGCAGGGCACAAATTCAGCAAGTGGGTTGATTTGCTTGTAGGGGGCTTGCAATCCATTAATTTACCCGACATGTTACTTGCATTGTCGAGCCTGGCCACGGTAACCAAATGAGGATTTTAAAGCAGATACCCAGTACTCATTCCATTTTTTCTCCATCAGGGCCCCCCTAAAAAGGGGAATAAATTTTATAAAGCGCTCTAAAGGGCTTCCACTGGAGTCGACAAAGCGAAAAATGAATGTTAATTATCGGTTGTGAATATTTTGGTGTGAACTACATTATTGCAAAGTATTTGCATTTTCACAGCTGTTATGATGTTATTTTCCCCTAAAGGGAAAGGGTTCCTTGATTTGGGAGGGGCTCTTTTTTTGGGGAAATTGTTTCTGTGCTCCATTCCCCAAATTTAAACCTAAATCCTTCCACACCCCCCCCCAGGCGCGTAAAACCCCGGGGTTTTAGCGCCCCCCCCTTGATTATAAAATATGTTTTGAGGACCACCTTAGTCATCAGTTAAAATAAATTCATTGCATATAGTAGTTGACATTAAGATCAGTCCCTCTTCCTCTTTCCCCAAAGGGGCACAGTTTTGTAAAAGGATCGAATTGTGCAACAGTTCTTTCCCTAGAAATTGCCCTCGTTTTCCCCAACCAAAAACCTCATTTTCTCCACGGAAAGCAAGTCCTCTTGAGCTAAAATTTAAACAGCAACAACTCGTTTTTAGAACCTTTTTTCCCCCAATAAGTGCCTCTTTTTCAGTTTGTTTTTCCCCAAAGGAACCAAAAAGCCTTTTTTCTGTGCCGAATACCTGGCTAAAATGCAGCTCCGTGAGGGGTGCGTTTTCATTTCCTCGAAACGCTTGGGGAAATTTTTTAGTCATTGAACCCCTGTGTGAAGGTTTTTTTTTGGTGAAAATAGCTTGCATGCGAACAGTACATTTTCCTGAGCTTTTAGATAACCATCCAGTCTTTTCACAGTTTCTGAAATTTTTAAAAATTCCCAAAAACAAGATGCTTTAAAAAAAACGACGCTTCCAATCATAAAAACCTTGCTGACCTAAAGTCAAAGTTCAGAGTTTTTCTGAAGTTTTTTTCAATGAAACATTACGTAGAAATCTGGGATTTACATTTGGCCAGAGGAAGGATCTTTTAAGACAAATCCTTTTAGAAAAGCCGTTTTTAGACTTGAGAACACAAAAGAAGTAATGCTGGCTGAGAAAATGGAGGGGGGGCTTCCTTATGATCGACGTACGCAATTCAAAAGTACGGTCACAGAAACTTTTCGGAGCATGTCTGGGGTCTTTCGCAGCTTCCCACATCTTTCTTTTTCTGTTCTTCTTGAATTTTCTTTTTTCTTTTCTGTGACCCCCCCGCAAAAACGTCCAAAATCACGTTTACAATGCCATAATGAGGATGTATCACTGTCTGTAATCATGTCAATTGGGGGGATATGGCCCCGTAGCCCCCTTTTCCCCGGCTGCGCATCTAAAAATTTAAAACGTTTCCCGAAAGGAGTCATTACAGAACTTTTACCATAGATTAGGTTTGTGATTTTGGGGTACGAAATTTACTAATTCATCCTCCTTGATCTCCAAATTTTCTTAAAAAAGAAATCATCCCGGGCCAAGAAAAAGCACAAGGGATTTATTTTACCCTTTTCATACTAAACTAATCATTAGTTTTGCATGTATATGGCCCACCACCATAGAAAGGGCATGGGAAATTTAAAAAAAAGAGGGCAATTTTTTTAGTTTCACCCAAACCCAAAATTTTTAAAAGTCGCTTGTGTTTCTGGAGAATATTAGTAAATTAATTGTGTTTTACATCACTTCCCCCCAACTTTTAAAAAATTTGCATTTGCGACGGAAGTGATGTAGAAACATTCAATTGAGATCTGTTATTAAAGATAAAGCAAGACAGGAAAATGCTTTTAAAACCTACAAACGGGAAATCAGTTTGCGTTTTTAGGTTTTTTTTTAGTGTTTTTACCAAAATGCTCTTACTGGGCCTGCGTCTTTTTCTGGGGATGCGCTTTTCTGGTCAAGAACCCTACAGGTACCTCCCCCTTTAAAATTTTTGAGGCGAAAACAAAATTTATCCATACAACAATGTTATCAACAAACCCTTTAGTTAATTTTTCACAGACAATCTAGATAACGTGTAATTACTACAGAAAATGGGGAGGGAAACCCCCTACTCCCCTTAGCGGGAAAAAAAACGCTGTTCTGATGTAAACAAAGGCGGTTGATGTTGCCCTCTATGGGTTTTGGTTTTT